TTGGGGGGGGGGGGGATAAGAATAAAATAATGTGCAAGAAATACTATAAATAGTCCTTAAGATCTGCCAAGAAGTGTTTGCCTCATACGTAGATGTTTGCCTCATGTAGATACTTATTACTCGTTAGTATTGCGTGTATGAGTTCCTGTAACGTGGCAAGAGAGGATATATAATAATATATGGATCTAAAATACGAAAAGCCGTTAAAATTACTTGCAAGTGTGCGGTATTATTTGGAAGAAAGTATAAGTCATTACGTCAATCGGTGGTGGTTCGATGATTTTTATCGTGAAATAAAGCACAAGCTTATTTAGATGGAACAAACATTGATTTTTTTGTCTGATAACACGAAAAAGTGTGTGACAAAGTAGTTACCTAGAATATGGCATCGCGAGAAAATTAAAGTCAGGACGTCACATGCATTTACCGCATACTTAATGGTATGATAAATTGCTTAATCATGTTATTTAAAGATCTCGTCAGACTGTGAACCACGATGCAGCAATACATACGAGATAGACTCGATGACAAATACGGCAGAGAGTAACTGGTAAGTCGTGCAAGGAATATGTCATTATGTGAACTCCTACTGGAAAAAATTCTACGTTTTGCTAACCCATCATGACTTCTAACCCCGAAACATTATACTATTAGACCATTACATCATCAGATAAGGATCAATTAATATCTTTACAATTTATTTTTAAACTGTAAATCTGTTAAACAGATAATAATATTATACGTTCGTAGCGATGGTATGTTTATTCACGTCGTGAAATGCCAATATAAATATCAATGACATTTATGATGATCGTATCGGCTGTCATGTGGAATTTGATATACATATGTTAGCTTGTCTCACGTGATCCAATATCAAATATCATCGACGGAATATTATCGTCTCCCTGTGATACGTCATTCTCATAAAATATCCTACAAGGTCAGTAAGTAGGAGAAAATTATATTGTTGCTCAAAGGAACATTGCTCGTTATTAAAAATTTGTTCAGGGAACAAGTTATTCGATGAAGGGACTCATCTCTATGATATCATTTATAACATATGGATTCTATGACACATTCGCTGAACGATACACTCCCGTAATTCATAGACAGGTAGACGTATATGGTTGTCCCAAAATAAGTTATTTTAGCACATGTATACAATCACGAAGGTACATCGAAAGTACGACAAACATCAGCATGTTTGCACATCGTGAGTTCCATTTCCGATAATTTTGCGAACAATGGACAACTATTTATATTATCATTGCAACGTAAAATAAAAACATATATTATAAAAAATTTTGTAATCTATATCATACTAATGAGGTCGACTATAATTATCCGACTAATTTCGTGTTGTCTCGGCGATAATAATATGCTTTTTATTGTTCATCGATTACGTACTCTTTACGCAGTAAATACATATTTTAACAATACGCGGCATTGTAACTAAATTCCTTATCACGAACTTAAAAATGTAAATAGCATTGTAGTAATATTTTGTTATGCCACGAGGTTTCCTATCCTTGCTAAGAAAATATTGCATTCATAATGATTAATCTCAATTCTCAATTCTTATTAGAAATATAAATTGTAATATGGTCCTGTGGAACTTCGTAATACGAAAAATATGTGATGTGGCACATCTTGTATTATCAAGAGACGCGGTAGCGTCTCGATGCCAAGTATAAAAGAAAAAATCGGCCTCCTCACGAGACGCTACCGCTACTCTTATTGACGCCAAGTTGGCGCTTTTTCGTCTGCTACGTTGAAATAACTTGAATTATCTGGGGGTATATGTCGTGGGCGAAAAATGTGTCAGGTCCAATATTTTTTTCTTTTTTTTTCTTTACAATGAGCCTTTGCCCAATAAAATCGGTTCCCGCAATGCTGATATCTGGCATTTTAGCAATATCAGTCGAAAAATTTTTCTCAATTTGTCCCCTCTCACACAATCTTAAAAAATTTGTCTCCTCGCATTACGTATGAGCTAGTTGGCGCTTTTTCGTCTGCTACGATGAAATAACTTGAATTATCTGCGGGTATATGTCGTGGGCGAAAAATGTGTCAGGTCCAATATTTTTTCTTTTTTTTTCTTTACAATGAGCCTTTGCCCAATAAAATCGGTTCCCGCAATGCTGATATCTGGCATTTTAGCAATATCAGTCGAAAAATTTTTCTCAATTTGTCCCCTCTCACACAATCTTAAAAAATTTGTCTCCTCGCATTACGTATGAGCTTCGACGCGACACAGGCATATCGATTCGAGACGCGCATGCGCAACGAGCCATTGAACACATGTAGTCTTCAATGTAAATCAAAGATGTAAATTTCTTTTAATCTATTCGATGTGTGGAAAAAATTCATAGCTTTGCTGACGATAGCTTTATTTGAACCTGTCAGCAATGGGGTTTGGCTGTTATACTCAACGCCAGGAAAAAAGTATAAGTTATTGAAAATCACTGAACGCAAAAATCAATCTGCTTGAAACAAGGATATAAATTGTATTTCACCTCCTGCTAATTTCGAATAATTTTGTTGTTGTCAGCTGTTTCAAATATTAGACAAAGGGAAGCAATGGATTTACCAAGAGGTATTTTAATGCGGCATGGATTGCTTTTTTCCTGTTTCTTCACTCTGATTGCTCATTTATGTCAAAGAATGCTCCATGCATTTGCTACATAGGTACTTTATATTTAATAATTATAATTGTCTGTCGAAAGGACTTCAGTTGATTGAAATAGACAGTTTGTCTGAATGAATTCATTCAAAATAGACAGGTTATCATATTTAAAGAATTAACGCTATGAAATGTCTAGATGGTTAATTTGTAGAGCATACTTAAAAAAACTGAGTAAGCTTTACCGCATTAAAAGTAGGTAGAGAGTTACAGACTTCTTGCAAAATCTATTGCTACTTTGAAGTTTTTCTGCGTTAAGGAAACACAACGTAACACCACTCTGTCTTATTCATGACTAAGCTGGACTATTCATTTTTCAGCGGATACATAATGTATCCTGTCTACGATGGCTTTTGGTATTCCATAGTTCAGCACCGGTAGGGTGCTGGAGACCAACTTTTTGACAATAACCATCACTTTTGCTTAACACCAGAAAAAAAAGTATAAGTAATTGAAAATGACTGGACGCAAGAGTCAATTTGCTTGAGACTAGGATTTAAATAGTATTTCACCTTCTGCTCGGCAAATTCATTGCATCTGATACTTTTTTCTTAGCATTGAGTAAATCAAGAACATTACAGTCCAGGGTAGTTCGAATAAACATGTCGTCTACAAAAATATGAGCTTTTCTATTATTCATCTTTATAGTATACAATGCTGGCATAATGAGGTAACGTTGCGTAAAATTCTTTTACGCATCTCTAGATTTTATCATCCCAGCGCCTATAACCAGGCTGTTCAAGCGTTTTAGCTGCTATCTCATCAAATATTATTTTTAACCCTAGTTTCAATTAATTCTCGTAATCCGTGCTCAACCCACCAAGTTTTTTGTAGAGAAACATGTACGTCTATTAAGCATCTACCTAGGAGATTGTAATGTACGGGAAAGGTCTTAAGAAACCTGCGAACAAATCGGCTCCCTTGACCACAACCAAAAGCTTTTATTTCTTCCGATTTATCATTGACGGAGACCGTGTGTGCTTGAGCCTCGAATTCAATGACTGACTCGTTCGCACGCTCTTACATTTGTCGTGCCCTCTCGCCGGGCCGTGCCTCACACATACCAGTACACCACAGGATTTTTGCTTGGCTAATTTATTGGATTTGATTTAATATTTTTGCTTGTTTATTTTTTATGAAATGGCTACACTTTTAATACTTGGCGTAACCGTTTTGTTTTGAAAAAATATTTTTGGTGTTATACCAATTCACGTTACGTATCGTGCGTTCTACCAGCGACATCTACAAATTAGGTGTATCAATGACAAAAATAACACTTATCTTACGATTTACTGTAGGTCTTAGTCGGTAAAACATTTTCTCTTCGGAGTTGATGCTAGGAAATCTTGATTATTGCTTCATTACCGGCGGCTGCAAAGCAGTTCATTCAACACTCGTATACATTCAATGTGATTGGTATTTGACCTTTACTGAGGTGTAAATCAATAAGAAAGAACAAGAAGAAAAAACTTAGTGTGTGTTGAAGATAAGTAATTGAAGTAAAAAAGGTATGGCTAACGTGCGTGTAATTAAACGATTAATATCATTGAACCAAAATAATGCATTTCTCATTAAATTTAACTCGTGCAGTTATCATTTATCATACTTGTTACGCCGTCGCCGTTAATGTCATTGACTTGGTAATTTCTCATTTGCAATGTAAATTTTTAGTTACCTTCGTCCTTTATAAGCAAGTCTTTATGCGATGACATGGGAAAAAGATAGCAAACACCTAAAATTGAATATGATGAGTGTGAAATAGTGAACGTACTTAGTTTCAGAATGTTGTTTATGCAGTGGACATATTTGACAATCTAGCGTACACGAGACATGACACGCAAGAAATCTTAAATGAGGATGTGGACAATTTTCGGATTATTCGATTACACTGATAACTGAGAAGGGCAGTGTGAGAGAAGAAGCAAACGAATAAGTCTTCAAGCATGTGTCATGAGAGCTCATGAAAGTGCCACTTGATTCTCTAACCCTAATGAGAGAAGGAAGACTCCACTATATGACAATAAAGTGAATCTCCGGTTGAAAATTACACGTATACCAAGAGAAAACAAAGCAGTCATCTACCTATCTTACTTGGCAGATAACAGAAATTATTTTGATTATCTTAAGAATGTGAAGAGTGTCGTGTATCTTGTTGATGAGCTTGACTATAGTTATCATGAAAAAATATCCGAGAACGTCATTGCGTGACAATTTTGCCGACACAGGGACGTCTTGCGTAAGGGCGTGTAAATTGTGTTGAACGTGCAAAATCGTCCAAGAGTAGATTCCAAGCTACATCACATTACAAAAGTATACTAACGCAAACGAGACATATAAATCCTAAAACTATATACAGGCAATTCGTGAGTTTCAAGGCAGTATATATAAATAACGAATCATACCTAATACATAATTTTGCAAGATCTTAGGTAAATGTGCCAAGTCAATGGCTGCATATTACTAATTGCCTGAAGTAAATAAATCAACCAAACCTAACCCTAACCCTAACCTAACTAACCAACAATCTGGAACGCCTGTCTTGAAACAAGTTACATTAAGAACCTAGATCGCCACTAGTGCCACGTTGAAAAACAATCGACGTTCCTTCTTCAGTAGACGTTTCATTTTTAATATTAAAGAGTTAGTAAAGACCTAGATAGGTCCATACAGCTCCAGTCGAGATTCTGGCAAACCCTGAACTCACGATAGAAATTTCCTGCCGAGATTATTCGTGGATATTTCAAAATATTCGATTTTTCTGAAAAATAATTTATTAAAATAGTAGCCTTTATACCGATACTGCCAATACAAGAATTGTAATGCATAGACATGCCACTAGCAAAACACTCGACTATGTTGACATCTGGTCAAATATTTATTAGCTTAAAGTATTACGAAAACACTTCATTCGTGCCGTAAAATGTCTGTTGGCCGTGACGTGATGTGAATTAAAATTTATGATACATACGACAAAGCTACAACCGTCACACAGGACTTTCAACATGCCAGACAATACATTTTTCGCCATTTAGGCGTCCTAAACGTGTTGTTGTTTTATGCCAAGAATGATGTAAAATTAGTAAAAAATTGTCGAAAACTCGAGTAAAAAGTGGTTAATGTAATACATTTCACAATGTTGAAGGTGCCTCGCCTATGACATAAACACGATGAATTTCAAATGCATTCACGTCTTTTCAGCGCCTTTATTGTACCTTACTTTGTATTTTTTTTTAATCCAATTAACTGATATTGGTTTTACGATAGAAATTAAATGGACATTATAAGTAACTTCAGTTTATGCGTTTGACAACGTAACAATAACCTAATACCGCCGTTGTACTGAGTTTATGAAAACAAGTGAAAATTTACAACTTGCTTGTACGTTACATGTAATATTGTGTTTGCTGAGACGTACATATACATTAAATAATTGGGAGAAATAACATATATATATTTTGGTATATACGTGTATATTTCTTTCATTCGTTTTTCCTCATCTTTTCATTTTATTAGTATATCTAAATAAAAACTAAATACAGTAATACACGAGATCAATTTTTGGTGCGCATTATATGGTATTACGGGGACTTCCGGCTTTAAAAATTCTGTGTGATTCCATGACAATTGTTGGAACAATCCAGTTATGCTCACAGCGAATTTTTAAAATTTATCCATTGTTAGGGACTCAGAATTTTATAATAGGCTTGGTTAGTTTAGCTTAGAATACCAATGCCATACAGTCGGAAATTCAGTTAAAAAAGACATTAGTTTGCCGTTGTAAATGCCTTTTTATGGTGAATGGTGTTCATATAATATTTTAGACTTAAGAAAAATGGGGGCAAAAAGGCAATGGGATAATATGTTATATCTTTCTTAAAAATGACTTTTTACAGTTTTTCGGCGTTCTCTAGCGAAAAAATTGCAGAAATTAGGTAAAAATTTGTTCATAAATAAGTTTTTTCGTATTGCATCCATTCCCAAAGGTCACGTAATCTGAAAGGAGTCTTCACATACGTCTATGTGTCAGTGTTACCCCTCGCCCGATCTACGAATCCGCTCGAGTCACGTAGATACGCGGTTCGGATGTCCAACCTTCATTATTCTTTGATACAAACGTACATGTACAAATACATAATATTTAAAAAACATTCAACTTGAATTCAATCGAATTAGTTAATCGCGCAAGTCCAGGATTTCCTGTATATGTATTAATTTTAGAAATAATGTATTATACATATACATATAAATATATGTAAAGATTTATTTGGTCCCTATTTTTTGTATACATTGATTACTTCCGTGACAGGTGGTATTTGCATGCCTGCTGCAAAAGTTTTTATATGTACATATCAGCTATTTAATGTGAAATAAGCTGGGTCTACCACATTTGATTTTTTCAACCGGAACTATTGCATAATTTAGGGCTCATTTAGGACTACTTTTGGACCCCATACTTGATTTTAGGGCTCACCTCCTTAAGGGGTGGATGTGTGGTGGACCCAGCTTGGGCCCAAGCTAGATCCACCACACTCGTTCTCACTCATCTGTAATGATAACCTCAACTTATTATACATCATATTTTTGGACTATTTAAGGGCTGTCGAATGCGCCTAGTCGCAATTAAATCGAACCACCCCTTCTGAAAAAACCACCCCTTTATATACCTTTCTTATGTTATTTTAAGTTTAATTGCTTTCGAAACTGTTCTTTATTCATTATAAAAATATATCATGCTATAAATTTTAATTTTCAAATCTTTGCGATTTTTAAGCTGCATTCCTAGGCTCCAAAAAAACAACCCCTAACACAAATTAATTGTCTGGACGTGTGCGACCATGTTCTTTATTCTTCTGAATGACTTTAAAAATCTTTATTAATTAAGGGCTTACATTCTCAACACTTTGCGATTTTTGAGCTGCACCCTTTGGTAGTTCCGGTTGAAAAAATCAAATGTAGTGGACCCAGCTTATGTCACGTTGCTATTTAGGTAACATTAAATGACCACACCGAATTTTTCAAAATTTCTCGAATGGAGCTGTGAACTCTACGCTACGTTAGGATAGCTTAAAATCTAGTGAATTTACGGTAGAAAGAATCTTTCCAGTCACAAGATTTAATACTTCCAATCGACTTCAACATATTTTCAGAGCCTTTTACTTTAATTCTAGCCTAGAAATGGGTTTTCGTGATGATTCTGGGAATTTTTTTTGCAAACTAATTATTACACATTTCCTTATCGAAGTTTCCACATATGTTAATTGAAATTTTGAATACTTTTTAATTTACGTGAATGTGCTTCTCATTGTTACTAGATTAAGTGACAAAAAAAATTAGCAAAATGGCAGCATCTAAAAAAATGTTTATCGATTTAGGATACTATTATTTCATCTTGGGCGAGCTGTAGAAAAAAAAAATTATTTAGGCTTAAATCTACTACATGCGATCAAGAGATATTTTTTCCGAAGCAACTTATCAAATTTCAAATGGCTCAAAAGATTGGTCCATAAGACATATGGACATTAATGTGAAAAACATAGTTTCTAGAAAAACACGATTAAACTCGTTCATACTAATTTTATGCGATTCATATAAACTTTATAACACTTACCGATAACCAGCTAACCGGAGGTCATAAAGGTACCTTCTTCTTTCTCAAAGAAGTTTTGTTGTTTAATAATTTACACTAATTTACAGATGTGATAGGACTGTCCTCATCCTTAGTCAGAATGTACCTGGTTTGATTTGTTATTCTATCACGTGCTGTACCTTGAAATGTTCATTGCGGCGTAAATTTTACAAATTTTGCTATACTAGTTTACAGACATATATTTTCAAGACCCTATACCTTGGAAAATTTTTTAAAAAATCGTACTTTTTTAAATCTTTTACTTTTTAATACCTCTGAATTCTAATGAAGATGTTAATAGTACATTATGATACAAGTGAGGGAAGTTGTATTATAATGTACTATTCTACAACTTGTATTATTTTTCAATTAGTGCGGTTCTAACATCATTCATCATTCGAAGCCATTGCCACTGATTCTCATGAAGGAGTTATCAACCGTAAATTAGAAATTGGAATATTAAATTAGCGTCGGAGGAATTTTTAATTGTAACACATGTAAATTTAATGTATATTTAGTATGGCAGTTCCAGATCTATTAACAGTATTTACCGAATGTCCCATTTGTATATTTTATTATAAATCGTTATAAACGTGAAATGTAAGGTATTGTTAGATTTAAAATATAATGTGGTTAGTGCATAAAAGTACGAGTTATGTGTAAATCCAGGGATTTAGCTTTGCTGCTAGAGTATTTTTATATGTGACATCGTATCAAAGTTTGTCATTTCATTTTGCAAAAGCAAGCATGTTCTATCCCAATTAGCAACCAGGCGCCACTTCTCATGAAGGAGACCTTTCTAAAAATCAGTTTTTCCTATAACTGATATTATTGTCTGCAAAATAAGATTTTCCATAAATTTGCTCGTCTACATTGAGTTATTTTTCCAATATAACAGCGAAGGTATAATAGAACAACGCTGTCAATTTTAAAAGATTTCGGATGTATTCTCGCATATCAGTTTAAGTGCAAATGATTAAAAAAGTCGGCAAAAGGCAGTGTGAATACGGTATGCGGCAGCAGTAGCAGCAGTAAAACACGTCTGCAATCTATAAACTCGGAAGCACGCACATGACAATAAACTTTCTACTTGCTCCAAGAAGAAGTTGTTTAAGATTCCGGTGAAATAGTAAAAAAGTGGGAGGTCTAAAAGAAATAGCAGTGAAGGGGCGATGAGAGAGCGAAGAGAAAAGAGGCGAGAAGACAAAGTGAGAAAGGAGTAGAAAGGTATGTCTACGCAAACAGCATGAACAAGTCCTATGGAGAATGTTACAATAAAGTTCACCCGTAAGATTTGTTGTCTCTTTCTGCTACCTATCACCTCTAATCGAAGCGCGACATTAGATTCTGATATTAAGTAATGTAAAAGAGAAAATATAAAACATTTAACATAATAATGAATAATTTTAGTATGCTTCAATCACAATCAATAGTATATATTTAATGGTACGAAATATTTTTTTTCATAGCTAGGCGATACGTAGTAAACTGTAGAGCTGAGGTTAAATTTTACTAGTCAAAATTGAATACGGTACCACTGCCGGATCATGCACCGAGGTCGTATATTTCTCAATGTGTATAAATAGTGCTACTGCGAATATTAACATGAAATACGAGATTAATAGGAATAATGGTACTAAATGACGAAGTGCAGAAAAATCTTCATATCTACGGGAGTTAGGTTCTGGAAAAATTCTGCGAATATTGAAAAAAGAAGTTAGAAAATGTAACATATATTTATAAGCAATAGTTTAACGAAACTATACGAAGAGAATTTTTCGATAATTTTCATATGAAATTCACGATAAAATTGATCGTAGAAACCAGTAATTGTGAAACATCATTACCATTTCATGACTTATTGATTATAAACACGATATTTTCAGTAGCTATAAGTAAATTTTACAGTGCACACAGTAAATATTGTTATTTGCAATTTTTACTGCTTTCCACCATAAAATTTACCTGACTCAATGTAAAAAAATTCTCTCCGTATATCATTTATATTATAATTTTAATAGATAGCTTCATAGATATTTACAGGTGAATCTACATATATAATTTACTTTAAACGTTCATAGATTTCGAACGGTTAAATTTACAGGAGTGGCTCAATGGACATTTGTGTAGGAAATTCAATTCTTTACAAAATTATGCCTTGCAGAATATTGTGACAAAAATCGCCGCCAACATATTTAAATAGTGATCAAAAATAAAAATTGGCCTATACTAATTAAATGAGAAAACTTCTAATTCATTGAGACACTTTTCAATATTAAAATTTCAGCGCTCTCCTTTGATTAGATTTTTTCTGGGCCCTAATCTAGAAGTTTTTCAGGTGGTAGCGTAACAGACACTAATCTATATGTATGTATGCGTAGAAAAAATTATAAATCAGTCATTTCTCAGACGCAGGATTTCTGTTTACGCATAAAACCTTTGTATTTTTTATTCTTGAAACGTATTCAGAGAGTTTTTGAACATGCAAATAGTTATTTAAATTGAAAGTAAATTTAAACCCGATATATTATTTTAGTTGTAGAAATAATAATATCATCTTTAGAAGATTCATTATAAAAAAAAAAATAAAAATCCACAGATCTCGCACTTCGCGCAACCAACGGAGGACATACAAGATACAAGATTTCAAATCGAGATATAGGAAATTTGCGAAACATAGGAATTCTAGAAATTATCAAATTCTGTGTCATACATATATGTATGTATATATATATATATACCCCCGCTACTCTCACAGAAATGGCGCACTAACATTATAAGAATTTATGAGTTATGCATTTTCACAGAATCACGCGTTAGCAATATCAGAATTTCAAGTGTTACGTATTTTCGTAACGATTTTTGTGACCCATCATTTTCCCTGAGATACGGCCTAATAAACATCCTAATGTTAAAATGTAAAAGATTGTGTAAATGTTATGAATCTTTTTGTAATACAATTGGATATAATAAACATGATGGTGTGACCATATTTTTTCTATCATCTAATTATCGCTGACAACAACAATGCAAACATGATTCCGCTTAATATCAAAAAAATCATTTTGATATGAGAATCGTTGTGATCGCCCTTGCGTCATACTAATACGATAGAGACATATTATTGTTTATTAATAAAAGATCTTCACAGATACTTGTACGTCGCTCTAAGATAATGTCACGCCAATCGCTTGATTAATCTATGGCTCGGTGATCTAATAAATGATAGATTAGCTTTTAACTGTCAGAAAAATTTCACAATTCTTGTCAATTTAATGTGATAGCTACTGATATGAGATAAATAGTCCATTCAATCAATTAAAAAGCTACTCATAGATCTTTGCTCTGACGTTAGTAGTGTTATAATAAAGCTAATCAGAAAGTGATTAGAGATTTGTTAATTAGATAAATGATAAATACCTTGAACCGCACATAATGCTATACGCTCTACTCAATGCGAGTAATATGTTCGGTAGTTATTCTTCGATATATTTATATTCTATATTTATGAAGAATATTATTGCATTTAATTGTTATTTCATTTAATTAACCGTTTCTACGCGTTCTTAGCTTATTAACGACTAAGCCAAAGATTCTGGAATGTTGCACTCATGCCACTCAAGCAGTGTGTATACGCGGAGTGACTGAAGTATAGTCTCAAGCTGTCTTTTCTAGAAAATATAGAGCATAAAATTTATGCAAACTTAGACTACAGACTGTTGGATTGAGTGTGGTTACTTTTCTCGCAAGAATGCCACGCATAGCCTTGTTACCAGTAAAAAATCTAACCTCAGTAAAAAAAAAACATTTTTCGGACTCAGCACTGGAACACCCGAGGTCGAGTTCACCGTTAGGGCATGCCCCTGGCCTGTTTACAAAAAAGGAATAAGAAAAATGTTCAAGTAAGAAAGCCAGAAAAATAAATGCATCCAGATACACAATTTAGAGATTGTCATTAAATTTAAGTAATTTAAAGTAAAGAACAATTACGAATATGCATTTGGGGCAGAACAGAGCCAGTTAAATGAATACCCGCATATAAAATGATTCGAATTTTAATAGTTCTATATATAACATTATATGTATATCTTATGCGAACAAAAAACATAAGAAAGAAAAGTAAACATTTTTTTTAACATGACGTGCAAAATTGGGATACGAAGCCACCACCTCATGGAATACTTTAGATGTACCGTGAGGTCGTAGACTTATTGATTTAGGTTTTTGGCATTTTGGTTTGTCATACTCAGGTCCCTGACATGCTCGCCACTGTCTATATACAATAAATATTCTCGTTCTGTTCGCGTTTTTCAACTCCTCTATCGTCGTGTACGTGGCGCTAGTAGTGTTCTGCCAAGCTCGACCTGATCTTTCGCATTAAACGCATTTTCAAGGATACTGGGAAGAATACTGCTAGCGCGACGTGTATTGAAATTTCGTGACCATGGCGACGGACATTCGAAAAACCGATCCGAACAATTCATGCCACGGGACTGGTCATACTGAGTCTGCCATCTTCCTTTTGAAAATCTTTTCTTTATATTTAGATTCAAATACAGTAAAACCTTTCAATAACAAATCTTTCCACTTTCTCAACTTGCACTTGCGCAGAAATATCTAGTGTGAGTGAAAATGTGGGCTCAGAGATGTTGGGGTTAGCACAAAGATAGGTATACAGAAAATGAAGAGTTATTGAGAGTTACGATATTAAGAGGTCTTACTGTACTTTGAAAATCCCCGATAATCAATTTTCATATGAACTTAACGATTTTTTGAAAATTTAGTCTGCCATTTTAATCAGCCATTTTGATTTTGCACATTTTAATTTAAAAATTAAAATGTTTTAAAGTTTAAGTGTTAATCAGAAGTTTTTCTGACTACATTGAAATATTCGTTCCGTTAGGTTAGGTTAGGTTGGACATTATTATACATAATAATTTGCTCCAGTTTGCTAGAATTTTATTGGGGCGCTAGCATGAAAGATTAATAGGAGTCGGACCATGACGTAGCTGTTATGTTACGTTAACACACCTTTCTTAAAATTTACTACTTAAAAGAAATTATTTTGCCATATAGGTTTACGAGATAATCTTTAGATGCAAGTTGATTATCTTACGTCCTATCGAACAAGAAAGAAAAA